GGCAGTGTGAATGCTCTCTTGTGCAAGAAAGCTCTGGTGGCCATTTTAGCCATAGGGCTTTCTTGTGCAAGAATCCCCTGCCACACATCCACATTGCCTTCTTGTGCAAGAGCTCCAGTACAAGAGGGCTTACACCTGTTAGAAATCAGCATAGCTCTTGTGCAAGAAGCCCTGTCTTCTGACGCCGTACTGTAAATCTTCTTGCACAAGAGTGGGTGGGCAGTGTGGATGCTCTGTGGATTCTTGTGCAAGAACGGCCATTCTTGCGCAAGAACCCATCAGTGTAGATATAGCCCATGTGTTTGCTCAGAATCACTAGCCCTTCACAGGACACTTTCTGTCTCTTTCAGGACATAAGAACATAAGAATGGGTCAGACCAAAGGTCCATGTAGCCCAGTAGCCTGTCTGCCGACAGTGGCCAACACCAGGTGCCACACAGGGGGTGGACCAAAGGCAATGATCAACCGATTTGTCTTGTGCCATCCATCTCCAGCCTTTGAAAACAGGGGCCAGGGACACCATTCCTACCCCCTGGCTAATAGCCTTTTATGGACCTAACTTCCATGAATTTATCTAGCTTCTCTTTGAACTCTGTTATAGTCCCAGCCTTCACAGCCTCCTCTGGCATGGAGTTTCACAGGTTGATTATGTGCTGTGTGAAGAACTTTTTTTTATTAGAATGGGTCCATTCTCTATTGCCCAGAGGGGACAAGAACAGAAAGCAAACAGAACATCAGAACAGCCAGACTAGATCATGCCAGATGTCCATCTAGCCTAGGAGCTGGTCTCACAATAGCAGTCAATTCCATTGCCCAGAGGGAATCATCAGAAGAGACAATTTTCAAGTCGTCCCTCCCGTCGCCCATTCGCAGCTTCTGGCAAACACTGGCTCAGGACACCTCCCCTGTCCATCTTGCCTAAAAGCCATTGATTGAGCTTCCCTGCATTAATTATCCATTTCTTTTTTAACCCTCTTGTAGATTTCACCTTCATAATATTCTCTGGCAAGGAGTTCCACTGGCTGACTATGAGTTGGGTGCAAAAATGAATTCTTGTGGTTTATTTTTGAATTGGTTACCTACTAATTTCATTCTCTCAACATGATACTTCAGGAGAAAAAATAATTTATTATTTACTTCCTGCACTCCTGTCATCATTACATAAACCCCTATCCTATCACCCATTGGTTGTCCCTTTCCCAAGCTGAGAAGTTGTTCCATGAACTTATGGGAGTTATTGTTATATGGTCCAAAGAAGAGGCATTTCCTGTGAAGAAGATGGACAAGCCCAATCCCCCTACAAAAAGCCCCAAGAGATACCAGTGGACACCAGGCACTTGTAACGCTACTTTTCAGGCAGTGCGCCTTAATGGGATCAGGCTGGCCGTCGGGCTAACACCATCAATGGAAGAGTCCCAGTGAGACTTCTCAGCCCAAGTGCAAAGACTGTAGAGTCACCCACTCCCAGCCCAGTGGCAGAGAGGCAGTGCCCTTAGGAGGTAGGTCCTGAGGCAGAGGAGACCTTTGAAGGGAACAGAGATGTCAGGTGACAGGAATGAGAACAAGTCACCTCTTCTCAGGTGAGACATGGTGGGAAACTGCCAGTTCCAGTGCAAGTCTAGTTCCAAGGGCTGGTTCCTGCCCCAATTGTTCCTTGTAGGGCCTGGATTGAGAAGCACCAAAGAGTCTTTTTCAAGGGAAAGGAGATTCCTGTGACTGGCTGGGTCTGATAGGAAAGATTTTGGTTCTCATGGAAACACAGAGCTGAATCAGACATGAGTGCTGGGGAAGTTTAATTGTCATGTGCATTTCAGTCAGAAGGTGTTGAGTCTTCCTTGCTATTGGGGAAAGCAGGCCAGGCCCAGGCCCTTTCAGCCACTGGGTGAAGGAGGCAGCTGGGGCCACATGTACATTGTATGCTTCTTGTGCAAGAAGCTTTTTGCAGAAGAGATTTTCCACAAAAACTTCTTGTGGAAGAGAACATCCACACTCCAACAGTGATGCACTTTTGTGCAAGAGAGCATCCACACTGCCATGGATGCTCTTGTGCAAGAAAGCTCTGATTGCCATTAACCAAATGGCCACCAGCACACCTGTGCTTCTTTTGATAGGCTGTTTTTGCACAAGAAATCCCTGTTGTCTGTCCACACATGCCTTTTTGTGCAAGAACTCATGCACAAAAAGGCTTATTCCTCATAGAAAGAACTCTTGCACAAAAAACCCTCTCTTCTTCCAATTTACTGTAAATTTACTTGCTCAAAACCACACTTGTAGTGTGCAAAAGCGACAAGGAGTCCTGTGGCACCGTATAGACCCGTGGTCACCAACCAGTAGATCGCAATCTACTGGTAGATCTCAGGGGCTCTAAGAGTAGCTCTTGAGCCATCTCTGAACTGCGTGCCTGCGCAGTACATTTACATTCGATTTCCTCATTTGAGGAGCAGCTACTCACCAAGCAACAGCACAGGTGAGTAGCTGCGAGGAATGGTGGGAGCTGGGAGGTTGGAAGGGCTGAAACACCCCAGCAAGCTGACTGTGGCTTTCAGCTGAGCGCCATGGCCAGCTGGCCGGGCAGCCACTTCTCTTCCCTCCAGCCCAGCTGCCCTGCGCACAGCCCAGGGAGGCTGCGTCTTGCTCCAGCTGTGCTGGAGCAAGCTTCCCAGGCTGAGCACAGGATCACAGATGTCCATCTGATGTATACTACTAGCAATCTCAGACTACAACCCAGACTTCAAGACACTGGCCGATACTGTTCAGTCACAGGTGTCACACTGAGACTTTGTTATTGGAAGAAAAAATATATAATTATCAATACTTGATATTAGATTTACAAAACAGAAGAGAACAAAATGTATAATTGTAAATGCTTCATTTGACATTTAAATAGCATGAAATAAAAACAGACCATTTATTTCATAACTATAAATGTGATTTTAATTTTATATATTGCATAATTTAAAAATAAACTGTTTAACAGAGTGTATAAGGGCTGGGGATAGCAAGTGATGGACAGGAGAATAGAGAGGGCGGGGCAGTAGATCTTCACCTGTTCTGAGACTTAAAAAGTGATCTTGAGTGTAAATAGGTTGGAGACCACTAGTACAGACTAACAGATTTATTGGAGCATAAGCTTTCGTGGGCAAAGACCCACTTCGACACATGCATCCACAAAAGCTTATGCTCCAATAAATCTGTTCGGGTATGTCTACACTGCATTCCTCTTTTGAGAGAGGAATGCAGATGTAGACATCCAAAATTACAAAGGAAGTGGGGATTTAAATAGATGACGGCTATTTCAAAAAACCTTATTTAGAAATAAAAATGCTGTTTAGACAGTTATTTTGAGAGAAAACCCTTCTTTTGAAATAACCCTTAATCTTATAAAATGAGGTTTAAAGGTTATTTTGAAAGAAGGGTTTTCTTTTGAAATTACTGTCTAAACAGTGGTTTTTATTTCGATATAAGGTATTTCAAAATAGAGGTCAGCCACAATTATGCAAATAAAGCATGAGATATTTAAATCCCTGCTTCATTTGCAATTTCAAGTGTCTACATTTGCATTCCTCTCTTGAAAGGGAATGAAGTGTAGATATACCCTTAGGCTACGTCTAGACTGGTGTGATTTTCTGCAAATGCTTTTAATGGAAAAGTTTTCCATTAAAAGCATTTGCGGAAAAGAGCATCTAGATTGGCACAGACGCTTTTCCGCAAAAGCACTTTTTGCAGAAAAGTGTCCGTGCCAATCTAGACATGGTTTTGCACAAGAAAGCCCCGATCGCCATCAAGGCTGTTTTGCGCAAAACAGTTTTTAGCTGTCTATACTGGCCCTCTTGTGCAAAAACATTTCCAGAAAAGGGCTTTTGCCCGAATGGGAACGTCAAAGCATTTCCGCAAGAAGCACTGATTTCAGACAGTAGGAAGTCAATGTTCTTGCAGAAATTCAAGTGGCCAGTGTAGACAGCTGGCAAGTTTTTCCACAAAAGCAGCTGCTTTTGCGGAATAACTTGCAAGTCTAGAGGCAGCGTTATAGCCTATAAGATGCCACAGAACTCCTTGGCTATGTCTACACTGGCGGGTTCTTGCTCAAGAACTCTCACGCAAGAACATGTCCACACTGCCATGTGCTTTTGCACTAGAACATCCATGGCAGTGTGGATGCTCTCTTGCACAAGAAAGCTCTGATTGCCACTTTAGCCATAGGGCTTTCTTGCACAACAAATCCCTGTTGTGTGTCCATACTGTCCTCTTGAGCAATTGCTCCTGCACAAGAAGGCTTAAACCTGTTAGAAAAGAGCGTAGCTCTCGTACAAGAAGCCCTGTCTTCCGATGCTGTACTGTACAAGAGTGGGTAGGCCATGTGAACGCTCTGTGGGTTCTTGCGCAAGAACCTGTCAGTGTAGACATATCCAAAGGGCTCAGTAGTGTGTGGGGAGTAGGGCAAGCAGGGAATCTGCCTGAGGCTTCTTGCTGCATTTGCAGGCCAGATCCAGTGGCTTGCTGGGCTGGACCCAGCCTGCTGGCCTATATTGCCCAGGCCTAGTACAGAGGGAACCTTGGCTGTGGGCTGTGAGGGACAGGTGCTGTGGAAAGGCTAGTCTTGCCTTCTTGGGCAGTGCATGACAATGTCCATTTTGGCTGCATGACTGCCAAACATCTGAAAGGCTGTGTCTAGACTACATGCCTCTGTCGGCAGAGGCATGTAGATTAGACGGATAGGCAAAGGCAAATGAAGCCGCGATTTAAATGATTGCGGCTTCGTTTATATTTACATGGCTCGCACGCTAGTCTGGACGATCCCCGTCGACATCAAAGCCCTTTGTCGGCAGTCCCATTATTCCTTGTGGAATGAGGTTTACTGGGGCTGCTGACAAAGGGCTTTGATGTCGACAAGGGGAACGTCCAGACTAGCGTGTGAGCCAACAAACAGCTGATCAGCGCGGCAGCCATGTAAATGTAAATGAAGCCGTGATCATTTAAATCGTGGTTTCATTTGCCTTTGCTGAACAAACAAATCTACATGCTTCTGCTGACAGAGGCATGTAGTTTAGACGTACCCAAACAGAATTACAGGCCAGACACATTCACTTACAGCAGCCAAAGTAGCTCAGATGGGTGACCCTTAGCCTAAAAGCCCCTGGTTCAATCCCAGGTTTTGACATGTAGCAAGGATCTTTCTGGTAACCCAGAATTACTCCCATGTTTGATTATGATGTCATGCTTGGCACTGACAAATCATGTTCATGGGATTAGCCTGCCTCCCTCCCACCTTTTCCTTGCCCATTAGGCCACCGGGGCCAGACAAGTAGGGAGCAGGAGGGACAGAAATCCTCTCCCCCAAAGGCACACCTCTCACATTGGCTGGGTACACACATCCCTCCTCCCTACCCCTGGCAGACACATACACAGCCCCTGGTAGCAAGGGAGGTAGGTTAGGGTTGCATGATGGAGGCAATGGGATTGATGCTACATTCTCCAGTGGCAGGGGCAGTGTCATTCCTTGTTTTCACTGGAAGAGTCAACTCAGGGGCTAAGCTCTTCCAATAACTCCTCTTTTCTTACTAGGGCTCCCAAAAAGACAGACCTGGCTTCCCTTTCTTCTACCCTACCAACTGTCATGCTGAAAAGCAGGGCGATGAGATGTCAGGTTGTGCAGCATGTGGGGCTCTGTGGCACAATGGAAAGTGTCTTGGATTTCTAAGTTGTGGTGCTCAGGGACCCTGTGGGTGACCTGACCTACAGCTAAGATGCCATCAAGTCCCTCCCAATGCTCTGCTCAATCACTCAGTGCATGACAGGGTGCTAAGTGATTGTGCCCTTTAGTGGCGCTCTCTACTAGCCAATCAGCTTTGTGGGGAGGGGCAAATGGCTGTCATAATAGGTCAGCAAGAAAGCAGCCAATGCCTCAGCCTAAGGGAGGCAGCTGCTACTTTCCCACCTGAGCAATTCTGCCCCCCTAGGCCTGTCGCTATCTCCTTATGGAGAGCAAGCAGGAAGAGGGAGGGTCCCTAGAGCCCCTTTGTCTGGCTCGGTCAGTGAAAAGGGGACTCCCCATTACTGGAGAATGGGGGTATCAGTCACACTACCTATCAAATACTGAACAAGCACTCTGCCACTTGAGCTAATTCCCCTTTAAGTAAATGAGTGCCCTGCCAGACTTGGAAAGTAACTTAAGTAGAAATATTTTGTTATATAACAAGTACACTTTTTGCATATTTGTACTTAAGTAATGTATTTTTGCAATACTTTGACTTCTACTCGAGTAGGATTTTTTTTTTTTTTAGAAAATATACTTTTTATTCCACTCCCATTTCCAGAAGTGCTGAGTTACTCACGACTTGCATCATTCTGCTCTGCAAAGCTCAGCTGCATGTGCAAGCACCCAGTCATCCACAAAATAAGCAATCCACCAGCACAATGACCCTGCCAATGAAGAAGCCTTTTAATAGCCCCATCACCTTTTCCTTTCAAACCAGTATCTTTGTAGGCACTGCCATTCTGAGACCTGAGCTACCAGGGCGGTTGCCCAGGGCTCCATGCTGAGGGGGGTGCATATGAGTAGTCTTACTTGTGTCAGGTAAAACCTGAACCTGAACCCTGCAACTGGTGTATGTAGTTTGCTTCCTTTAACAATTTTAGTCTCAACATTTTCCTCCTTTCATTAGTGATCAATCTTTTGATTTTAAATTCTAAAGGACTGGCAGTGTGCTCTTGTACGTAGGCTTTAAGGTATAAATGGACTTGAAAGTGTGGCCAATCCCTGGGGATCGTGAGAACCTGCTTGGATTTGGTGAAACTGGTTTTTATAACCACCTTCTGTAGAAGGAGCGATGCTGGTTGTGGCACAGGAGAAGCTGAAGGGTTTATCTGCAGTGTGGCTTCTCTTAGCTCTAACAAGGACCGATGTCTTGTATTACAGGCTGGACATTCATAAACAATGGTCCACTGAATTTTTCCCACACCTGTGCAGAATGATGTTTGTTAGGGGCACCAATAAGGAGGAAATGTGTGGCATACCATTTCCAAATGGGTGCACGGAACTAAGTTCATGTGGCAAGACTGGAGACTAGCACTTTGCTCCAGCCCTTAACCTTTCATTGTGCAATCCAAAGAATTGAGGAGCAGGGGTATGAGAGTTGGCTCTGGGGTGGGGCTGGAGATAAGGGCCTCAGGGCTAAGATAGAGGTTAAAGCAGGGCTGGGCAATGTTTTTTGATGAGGGGCCATTCCAAGATTTTGTAAAGTGGCCAAGGACTGCACTCTTCCATGCTATTAATGGAGGAGGTGCAGGATTGGGGATGGAGGTTGGATGCAGAAGGGGGCTTGGGGTAAGGGACTGGCCTGCAGGAGGGAGAATTGAGTTTGGGAGGAAGTCTGGGTGAAGGAGGCAGTTGTGACCTAGAACAGGGGATTGGGATGCAGGCTTTTGGGATGTGACGTAGGGTAGGAAGAGATTGTGATCTGGAGCAGGAGACAGGGGTTTCAGACCTGGAAAAGGGTATGGATACAGGAGGGGGCAGGGCAAAGGGTTGGGGAATGGAGTGCCAGGGGAAGGCTAAGCCAGGAGACTTCCCAACTAGCAGCCAAGTCTGCCTGCCTGGCCGGCCACATGCTTATTACTTATAAAATGAGGTTGAACAGTTATTTCAGAAGAAGGGCTTTCTTTTTAAATAACCACATCTTCATAGCATTTTTATTTTGAAATAGCACCATAACACCATTATGCAAATGAAGCGTGGGTTATTTAAACCCCAGCTTCATTTACAATTTCGATTGTCTGTATTTGCATCCCTCTATCGAAAGAGGATGCAAGTGTACACATACTTGTATTGACTAATGCAGGGAAATTCCATCAAATAGCTGATAAGTTGACACAACTAAATTGAACATTCCTAATTAAGTGGCTTGCATGGCTGCAGAGGAGCATGCCTGGGGAACCCGGCTCCCTCTCCAGGCCAGATCTAATGGCTTAGCAGGTTGGATCCAGCTCACAGGCTGTATTTTACCCAGGCTTCAAAAAAAGGGAACTCAGGTTTATATGGTTTCTCCTGTGTGTGGGTTCTGAGATGTCTAACAAGATTTGAACTCTGTCTCAAACTTTCCCTATAGAGCAGCTGAAGAGTTTCTCCCCTGTGTGGGTTCTGTTATGTTGAATAAAGTTTGACCTGTATTTGAAGCCTTTTCCGCAATCAAAGAAGTTAGGAAGTATTGCTCTTGTTTGTTATCATCTGGTGATGAATCAAGTGTGAGTGTGACTAAAGCATTTTACACAGTCAGAGCTGGTGAAGAGTTTCTATCCTGTATGGGTTCTTTTGTGTTTAACAAGGCCTGACCTCTCCTTGAAGCTTTTCCCACAGTCTGAGCAGCTGAAGGGTTTCTCCACTGTATGGGCTCTTTTATGTTTATCATCATCTGACCTGTGTTTGAAGCCTTTTCCACAATCTGAGAAGTTACAGGGTGTGTCTCCTTTATGTTTTATCTGGTGATCCATAAGGCATGAGCGCCGACTGAAGCCTTTCCCACAGTCAGAACAGTGGAAAGGTTTTTCTCCTGTGTGGGTTCTCCCATGAGCAACAAGATTTGGCTTTTGACTGAACCTTTTCCCACAGTCAGAGCAGGCGAATGGCTTCTCCCCTGTGTGGGTTCTTACATGTTTAACAAGGTCCGACCTCGCCTTGAAGCTTTTCCCACAGTCAGAGCAACTGAAGGGTGTCTCTCCTGTGTGGGTTCTCCTATGTAAAACAAGGCTTGAACTCCGACTGAAGCTTTTCCCACAGTCGGAACAGCTGAAGCGTTTCTCCCCTGCATGGGCTCTTTTGCATTTAACATCATCTGACCTGTGCTTCAAGCCTTTTCCGCAATCTGAGACGTTATGGGGTTTCTCTCCTCTATGTATTATCTGGTGATCAATAAGGCATGAGCGCCGACTGAAGCCTTTCCCACAGTCAGAACAGTGGAAAGGTTTCTCTCCTGTGTGGGTTCGCCTATGAGCAATAAGATTTGAAGTCTGACTGAAGCTTTTCCCACAGTCAGAGCACGTAAAGGGTTTCTCCCCTGTGTGGGTTCTCATATGTGTAACAAGACTTGACCTTTCCTTGAAGCTTTTCCCACAGTCAGAGCAACTGAAGGGTGTCTCTCCTGTGTGGGTTCTCCTATGTACAACAAGGTTTGACCTGTGACTGAAGCTTTTCCCACAGTCAGAGCATCTGAAAGGTTTCTCACCTGTATGGGTTCTCCGATGTGAAACAAGCTTTGAACTCCGACTGAAGGTTTTCCCACATTCTGAGCAGCTGAAGGGTTTCTTCCCTGTATGGGCTCTTTTGTGTTTATCATCATCTGACCTGTGTTCAAAGTCTTTTCCGCTACTGGAACAGTTATAGGGTCTCTCTCCTCTATGTATTATCTGGTGATCAATAAGGCATGAGCGCTGACTGAAACTCTTCCCACAGTCTGAGCAGCTGAAGAGTTTCTCTGCTGTGAGAGCTCTTTCATGTTTAATAGGAGTTTCAGAGTCATTGAAAGTGCAGGCTGACTGTTGATGGGGGATTTTCTGTTGAACAGTTTCTGTATTTGCTTCCACCCCTCTGCTTCTGTGACTGGATTTACCCTGTCCCTCTCCTGGATGGTTTCTTTGCTGCCTTTGTGGGCTACACTGTTTCTCACAGGTGTCTCCCTGCACAGGGCTTTCAGATCTTTCCAGTAACCTCCCACATGGAACCATTTGCTCTGGTCCTTCTTGTTGAAGACTCCTCTCACTGTTCTTAGTCAGCATCCCCTCACCTGCTGGGACAGAGGGAATCCAAACAGGAGTCTTTCACTGTGCTGAACTGGAAAAAAATTCTCAATGGGGAATAGGAAATGGGGGACATACCCAAAGAATTACTGGAAAGGTTCAATAATCAAAAGCTCAGTTCATCCTCCTTCCCCATAACCCTTTCCCAAAGGCAAAAATCTAGCCTTTCCCCTGTCAGCCACCTTCTGACTGGAGGTCAAGACAGGCTGAAGGGTCAGTAAAACTTGGGGTCTGTCTAAACTACACCTCTCTGTTGACAGAGGGATGTAGATTAGGTACATCAATATTGCAAATGAAGCTGGGATTTAAATATCCTGCACTTCATTTGCATAATGGCAGCTGCTGGTTTTTTTGAAATGGGGCTTTTGGAAAAACAAACAAAAAAAACAGTTTAGACAGAGATTTTTCAAAAATAAACCCTTTTTCAAAAGATCCTGTATTCCTCAAAAAGTGAGGTTTACAGGATTTTTCAAAAGATCTCCGTCTAAACTGCCTTTTTTGTTATTTTTTTTTTAAATGGGGCTTTTTCGAAAAAAATGGCAGCCACCATTATGCAAATGAAGTATGGGATATTTAAATCCCAGCTTCATTTGCAATATCGACATGCCTAATCTACACACCTCTGCTGAAGGGTGATGTAGTTTAGACGTGATGAAAATGCAGAAGTGACACACACAATGAGGGGGACAAATTGGTTTGAGAGTCAGTTTAGCTGATTGTTCACCTGTGTGAGTATCACTGATGATCTCTCCTTCCTCACAGCCCTGGAGATCTGGGATCTGCAGCTTCTCCCCTCTCTCCTTCCAGGAGTTCACATGAGCTTCGGACACTGGCAATCCTACTCAGGGAGCAATTAATCAAGTGCTGATCTTGTTCATTAAGGTCTGTGCCATTATTGCTTCCAGAGCGAGGATCTGAGTCACCCACCCAGAGAGGCTTCTTCCTCACCTTGCAGGGACTGGGCTCTGGATGATACAAGATCCCAGGACACACTCATCTGCAGTAAAAGTGCATCCCCTCTGCCTTAGTTATACCCTAGAATGAGCTGGGCCATTCCTCAGTCTCCCTCTTTGTCCCTTACATTACCTCCATCCCAGGGCAGGACAGGAACACACTGCTCAGAAGGGGAGCCCTAGTGAGGATTTGTAGGTCTGACAGCAAGGCCCCCAGACAGGGTTCAGATTGCAGCTGCCACATGGCATATCACTAGGACTTGGCGGGAAAGGACCCAGCTAAGCTCTAGAGCCCCAAGGGCTCTGTCTACAAAGACACTGGCTGTGGGGCTCGGCTCACCCTGTTCTTTGGCTCAGATGCTCTACCTGGGCTAGGAGGCGGCAGAGGAAGTTGTCTCAGCAGCAAAGTGAATCCCTGACTGGCTGCTTCAGGCCCTGCTTATGCTTTACACTCATGCTTTACACTATGCTTTACTACCTGTGCCTGGGTGGGCTCTGCCAGCTGCTCACAACAGCTGCCGCTCCATGGCCAGCCAGGGCAGTGCCAGACTGTTCCTGTGGCCCGCCAGGGTGGAGATGGGCTGTGTTGCTTCTCTGCTGGTGGATGCTGCTGCAACTCAGCTCCCACTCTGAAGCCTCAGTTTTAATCTGCCAACAGCAGCCTTTTGTGTAGTTTCCCAGCCTTCCCCTTGTGGCCAGTTTAGCCCGCCATCAGATGCCCTACTCGGCTGCACAGAATCTACCAGAGGCAGGAAAGGACTCTGAGGGGCTCAGCCCACTGGCAAAAGGGTACTCTGCAGACACTAACAACAGCTGAACCCAGCCCCACAATTCCAGTATTTGCCATTCCTGCCTGGTACTTCCATTCACTAGTATAACTGATTAATCAAGAGGAAAAAGCTTATAGGTTAATACTACATGCATTTGCCTCCCCCCACACCAGTACATCTTTTAGCAGGCTGGCCAGCTTTGACCTATTCCTACTCTAGCTCTTCATTTAAACTATTTTAAGAGCTGGACAGGCAGGCAGCCCGGCTCAGTTATGGGTTGCGCTAGGTCTCAGAGTTCTGACACCCCCCAGACAGGGGATTCTGCCACTCCACACTGCTAACTCTTTCTCAGAGGCAGCAGCACTGGGTGGAAGGCAGCTGGTCTGCCCAGGAAGCTGGATTTTAAACTGTTTCTCGTTGCAGACCAACTCCCACCCAACACTCCAAGCTGCTGCCTCTTTATCAGAGGAAGCAATGTGAAGTGGCAGGGGGCTCCTCAGGAGTGAGGCCAGAATGCACTGGCTGCCGGCCCCACCTTCTGGAGACTATAGAATAGTCAACTAACCGAAAAGCATCGATGAGGTTATTCGACTATTCAATTAATCAATATTTAACATCCCAACACATGCAGCCAATGGGCAAGATGGTGGGGACATTGAAACCTCAGCTGTGGGAAAAGCAGCACCATCATTCTGTCCCTGAACCTGCTTCCCCTGGGAGAGGGCATGGAGTGGACTGTCTCACACAGAAGCCAGGATTACTCGTGCTAATATTCCTGATATTGGGGGACAGGGGCAATGAAGGACCCTGAACAAAACCCAACCCAGCTGCTCCAGAGCCCACCCAGTTTCTGATACTCAAGGGGACAGGAATCCTTACCCAGCCAGTTCACAGCATCATAGTTCTCCTGCATCACATCTCTGTAGAGAGCTCTCTGGCCCGGGTCCAGCAGAGCCCATTCCTCCTCAGAGAAATACACAGCCACCTCCTGGAAGTTCACCGGCTCCGCTACAACCATTTCCTGTCCCTGGCTCTGCAGGCCAGGGGCTGAGCTGGAGACAGACGTGGGTGTTCTGCAGCCTGGCAGGGGAAGAAGAGCAATTGGAGACATGTCAGAAGGATCTTTTAATCCTTTTCACACCCCCATTCTCCTAAGCTTCTGTCCCTGGTGACACACATTGGCAGAGTCTAGCACTTGTGGGCAAATGCTGAGTCTAGATATTCCATAAACACCACACCCAAGTTAGATGCCAAAGCAACATTCATTTCTCTCAGTACCTGGTTTGAGTTCCAACATTATTGCACCTGCAACAATGGGATTCAGTTCTCAGCACCCAGTGTTGCCAATAAAAAAAAAACCCCACATATTCACCTGCCTGAACATGGACATAGATTCAATTTAGGCTGCTGTATTAAAAACCGCTAGTTTTCAATGGTTGACTCACAACAAAAACTTTGTTGTAGAAAAGATTTATAAAGTCTCTGTCACATGTGAGAACCAGAGATTAAGTGAAGTTAAGTATGCGGGTGATTATTAAACAAGAGAGGTGAGTGTGTGCAGGATGAAATCTTGAAATTAGCGGATTCATGGGATCAGAAGATAGCCATAGTCACGCAGTCTGACCTCCTCTGTGGCACAAGCTATTACACTTAGCCCAAGTACCCAAGCACAAAGCTCTCTTCCCCCAAAGCATGTTTTCTAGAAAGTTGCCCAGTGCTGATCTGACGACATCAAGAGATAGAGAATCCACAAGTTCTTTGCTCATTTGTTTCAACAGCTAATCCTCTTCCTTATCAAATATTTGTGCCTCTTTTCAAGCCTGAAATTTGTCTGGCTTCAGCTTTCAGTTATTGGCTCTCACTGAGCTGTAGCCACTTGACCAAGAGTGGGCAATATATTTTGATGGAGGCCACTCCAAGAAATTGGAAAGCGGTTGAGAGCTGCACTCTTCTATGGCATTAGTGGAGGAAATGCAGGGTTTAGGATGGACTTTGGAAGAAGCAGGGAGCTTGGGTTAAGGAATTGGAATGCAGGAGGGAGAGAGAACTCTGGGAGGGAGTTTGGGTGAAGGAGGCAGGTGTGATATGGGGCACTGGATTAGCCAACTACTCATTAGAAATTTAAAGTAACTTTAATTTAGGGAAAGTGACTTAGGTGCTGTTTATTTCTGACCACTGAGAGCTCTTGCATATACTAGATGCAAGAGGAGGGGAGAGAGTTTGTGTATGTGGAGTGAGGAGCAGGAGCAGGGAGCAGAGATTAGGAGGGGAAAAGAGAGGTTTGGGTGTCAGAGACAACCTCTGGACAGGAGACTTATCTGGATAGCAGCTAAGCACCTCTCTCAGGCAGGCAGGAAGCCTGCCCAAACCTCACAGAGGCTGCAGGGCCATGTGTGTGTGTAAATAATTACGAGCCGGAAGGGAGAAGGAGGAGTGGTGCATCGTTTTTGGCCAGGATCCGACCAATTAAACTGTCCTGGAGTTGGAAGCAGCTCCTGAAGCATTTCCCCTTCCCTCTGGGCTCTCAGTCATTTTTGGAGTGGCTTGCAGATGGGATGTGGTAAGAACAAAACCAGCCCATAGCTCCCCCCAGCATCCATGGGCTGGATTTGATGGATCCAGCCCATGGAATATATTTTCCCCAGGTTTGCACTAAACTGAAGAGCCCTTGGGGATCCAGCAGTTTCTCGCCAGAAACTGACTGATATAATGGAAACCACTCTCAACCTTTCAGCCTATTTATTGTTTGAAACCAACCAAGCAGTGAAATCTGAGCCTGAAGGTGCTGTCCGTTGTGTGCTTTAACTTCACCCCTTTAGTATCACACCCCAGACAGAAGTGTTTCTCAACATGTCCACAGGTCTCCAATCCACTGCCCTTGGGTCTCCTCACTGATCAGTGGATGAGATTTAGGGCTGTGCGTGCCGTGGTTACTTGGTTTGGTTGGTAACTTTAATGACAAGCCCATGAAGATGTTTTCACAAGGAATTTTCTGATCAGTTAAAGAATCTCCACCTGGAAACTCACCTTGTCTGAAAGCTCCCACTGATTTTTCTCTTGCTCTCTCCAGTGCAGAGGGCAGAGTGTCTGGTGAGGGAAGGGATAAGAGGTGAGATTCCAGGCTCTCCTATTCATAACCATGTCCCCATTTTGCACTTTGCATTTCAATTGTATCAGAGACCAGACAGACACATGCAGGTGTTTCATATGAAAAGGTCTGAAACCTTCTGTTTCCTTTCTCACTCAGGCACTTCCCAGCAATGGAGCAAACATCCCAGCAGCCTCACACCAGTCCCAGGAGAAAAAAGCAGTGAGATTTACTTTTCCCTCCTCACCTCCTCCCATTTGGTTTCTCTCAGTCACTTACTGCCTCATTATAACCTAGACCTGCACTGAGTGAAGGCGTTGCCATGACAGTAACTTTACCTATTTCAATCCCTTTGACACTAACAGGAGTTTCAGAGTTTGCAAACCTCTGGCTCTATCTGCAAGTACTTGGGTCTGTTCGCTCAGTGTCTCTAAGGAGAGCAGCACGACGGGGCCATCATGCTCCATGTGGGAATTGAGGCAGGGGAAGGTTGGCTTCAGAGGCCAGATTCAACTGTCTCATATACTTAAACCACTCACCCCTCCTCCATCCCTTTTAAGTACCTTTGAAGTTCCTCAGAGTTTCCGACAGCGCAATCGTTTTCCGGGATAGACAACTGACTTGTTCTTCCAGTTCAGGACAAATCTCCTCCGGCAGCTGGAACTGCCCCATCTCACACCTGGCAGAAACAATTACATGTGATTGTAGTTCATTTACTGATAACTTCTGGCTAGGGAGTCTCAGCTCCAACAGGTCTGGAGTTAGAATTCCTCCAATTCTCCCAGCCTGAGAGCAGGAGCAACACAGCCCAGAGATGTGCAACCTTCCCCTCAATGGTCCCATTGCTGTTCTTCACCTTTGGCCCGGAGAGACCAGCTGGGGGACAAAGGGAGAATTGAGCCTTGATGGCCAGTTCATTTGTTGGCCTCCAGCCACACTCAGGGACAGGAGGTGCCCCCTAGGAATTAGAATGGGACACAAGCTCTCCCCTCCCCAGCTAGTTCCACAAAAGTGCCCAAATTGCTCTTACGAGGGACAGACTCTTGATCCCAGCAGACAGGCCAATGTTCCAGCCCCACAGTCCTGAGGCAGCCAGTCCCCAGGGAGGTGACAGCTCTAGGAAATATCTGACATCAGACTGTGCCCTGAATGGGGAATTCCAGAGTCTACTTTGCAAGGGTGAGAGCCTCAGAATTAAAGGAATCAGAGATGTCTGTATTGAACATTTGGCTGTAGAGCCCTCAGGAGATGTGGTGCTAACATCACCGCCAAGCCCTTTCCCTGCGCTGTGCAGTGTGAGGGGAGTGAGAGTCACTTACTTGCTCAAGGTGCTTCTGATGTCCTAGAGAAAAAAAAAAAAAAGACAGAAAAGAATCTCAGCCCCATCAGATACACACAGGAGACCCAAGGGAAGGGAGTCTGCAAATATATGGGGAAGAGAGGCCCTGTGCTGTCCCCAGGGCCATGGAACCTGTGAGCGAATGTGGCTTTGACATCCTTAATAGTTCTGTGGCTGTCACTCTACAAAGCACAAAAGTCACTCACATGGCAGCAATGCACATACCAAGTTACACCTAGATCTGACAGCTGGACCCCAGTGCTTGTGGTTCAGAAGCCTCCCTTCGCTGTGTGGGGAGCTGGGATGTTTCTCCCTCAGTCTCACCTGCAGGAATTCATTTGCTGGCTTCTGACACTTCTCCTCCAGCTCATCAATCAGCTCGCTGAGATGGGAAATCTGCACAGAGAGTTTCCTAACAGTGTCAGTCTGGAGTCTCCCAATCTCCTCACTCAGCTTCTCCAGCTGGGCCAGCAGGAGTTGCTCTTGTTCCTCCAAAAACTGCCGCAGCTGCTGAAACTCAGCCACAACCTTCTGCCTCTCGACTTGTGTCTGTTTCTGTATGAAAAAGGGGAAAGGGCTGGTCGGGGCATGGATGGAACCTGGGGCCCTTTCATGGGGAGCCGAGCATGCAGCAGGGAAAAATTCTTGGAAAACCCTCAAATTTGTGACATTTGACTCTATTCTGTAGATAAGAGTCAGAGGTGCCTCTCCCAGCATTTCCTTTGGCCCCCATGTCCCTCACAATGTGGATGATATTATCACTCTCATGTAACTTTGTATTAAGATCTTATCCTTTTAGATATATCTTTAAGTGTTCTTATAGAATCTTTGTAACATTTCTCCTATAACTTTGTATTAAGAGACACTTTCCTTTGTATATGTATAGATCTTGTAAGAAAAAATGTCTTTAAAGCTCTCCCCTTTCCTCGATTGTCCTGTTGAAATGAATGAAGTGTGAATGGAGAATGAAAGGGGAGCACCTCCAGCAGCAGTTGCAAGGGTGGAGAAGGTCTAGGAGCCAGATCCAAGACAATACCTGTGAAGTGAACTCATTAAGAAGACTGGACATACAGATGCCTTGGGAGTCAAGTAGCAAGTGCCTGCCCTTGGAAGAACTCTCACTGAAGGAGCATTAAGAAAGGCAAAGTGATGACTAATTGGCTGCATGAGAGGGATAAATATGAGGCATCTTGCAGAGGGACCCTGGGGTTTTTTCGTCTTGTCAACATGGGAGCATCGATCCAGATCAACAGAAGCCTGGCTCCACCCCTCCCTCATCTAATTCACTTGGCCAGTGCAGTTAGAGGGAGCAACTTTTGGTAACAACAAGACGGAGTGTGCTTGTGTGAGAGAGAGTGCATGAGTGTAATGTGTCACATGCATCTGATAAATATTGATTGATCTGTGTATGTTCAATAAATGTGGCGTGTTGCCTTATCCCTCTGAAAAAGATCCCAGGTGCTTCTTTTAAGCACAACATGAAAGGGATGTCCCCATGTCTCATGGGCAGCATCTTCTGTTTTTATGGGCTCTGGGAATTCAGATCCAAAGCATCAGGAGGAAGGACTCAGCACCAGCCTGACAGAGATACTCAGGGACGAAAAAGAAACAAACATGGTAATGCACCAGGTGAGCAGATACAGCAGACAGCTCCTGATGGAGACATTCAGCTCCCTCGGGGAGGATTTCTGGAAAGTCACAGGGGCTGGACATTAACTCACGCACTGACATGGGAGCTCAAGGCTTGTATTCACATGGTTCTAACCCAGCAATCCACGATCCAGGAGAGACACAAACAAGCCCAACCTCACCAAGGCAACAAAGGAGTCTGCCTCCTAACACAGCTCTCCCACTGCCAGTCTCTGTCGGTTCATAACCACATGCACCTACCAGATACTCCTGGATTCTCCCCTCCCGCATCGCTTTCCATCCCAGCAGCTTTTCTCTCTCTTCCCTCAGAGTCTTCAAATGGGCAGCCAATTTTTCCTGAAGAAACAGAAATAAGCACCAGGGTAAACCCCATGAGATGTTGGGAGCCCATTTGTCTGCCTTTAAGCTGCACAGTCCCAGTTTTGTGGAGCTCTGTCCCTGTCTGGCAGGCATTCAGCCTTGGACGTGGCTTTGTCCATAGAAAAAGAGACAGGAAGAGACAGCAGATACAGCAAGACGCCTGTCAGGTTGGGGGACGGATCGATGGTGGTACCTTCATAAAGAATGATGCAGGTGGGTAGTAGGGCAGTAAAAAGGGTTAAAAATACTAATCATGGAACTGATTACAATTTAATCAGTAAGGGTACATCTAGACTACAGGCTTTTGTCGACAGAAGTTTTGTCAACAGATACTGTTGACAAAGCTTCCGTCAACAAAGAGCATCTAGACTACATCCAGTTCTGTCAACAAAGCAAGCCGCTTTGTCGACATGATAGTGTAGACACAAAGGACAGTGTAGATGCAATAAAACCTTCTGTCGACAGAACTCGTCAACAAACAGCTTTATTCCTCATAGAACGAGGTTTACAGCCGACGACAAAACTGCTGAGTTCTGTCGACGTTATGTTGCAGGTATAGTTTTGTCGACAAAAGTCCACTTTTGGGGTGTGTCTAGACCCGTGTTCACCAACCAGTAGATCGCAATCTACCGGTAGATCTCAGGGGCTCTAAGAGTAGCTCTTGAGCCCTCTCTGAACTGCGCACCTGCGCAGTACATTTACATTAGATTTCCTCATGTAATGTAGGCGGGGCTTCAAGGAAGGGGCGGGGCAGTAGATTTTCGCCTGTTCTGAGACTTAAAAAGTGATCTTGGGTGTAAAAAGGTTGGAGACCACTGGTCTAGACTACAGGGTTTTGTCGACAAAAGTAGACTTTTGTCAACAAAACTATACCTGCATCCACACTGCCTTTGAGTTATGCTGATATAACGTTGACAAAACACAGCAGTTTTGCCGACGTATGTAAACCTCATTCTACGAGGAATAACGCCTTTTGTTGACAGAGTTCTGTCGATAGAAGGCATTATTGCATCTACCCTGTCCTTTGCGTCCACACTGTTATGTCAACAAAGCGGCTTGCTTTGTCGACAGAACTGGATGCAGTCTAGATGCTCTTTGTCGACAGAAGCTTTGTCGACAGTATCTGTCGACAAAACCCTGTAGTCTAGACATACCCTTGTTGACAAAACCCTGTAGTCTAGACACACCCCAACAGTATTTTCAACCTGTCAATATGCCAACAGGAAGAGATGGTAGTGGATGTGTACTCTCCTGGGGGCAGGGCTCTTTCACAGGGTCTGCCGTGAGTGGTCACTAGGACTCCCGGCAGGTGAGGACTCCCAGCAGCTGCAGACTGACATTAGCTGCTAGGGGCAAGCAGGTACGAATGGGGGCAGTGGGGAGTTTAACTGGTAACTGGTACCAATAAGCATTACTTCAGCAGTTGACCAGTTTGAACTCTTGCCACAACAAAGATGAATCCCAGGGGTGATTGGCATGGTCTTGTGCAGCCTGCAGCCCTGCTGTGGATGGACTTAGGGCACTCAGAGTCCCACACAGCATCCAGCCCAGTGACCTCCTCTAGTGCCGGCTGGAGCATCTGAGAGTTTAATCCCTCATGGAGCAGGCCAGGAGTTCAGCATCCCAGTGGGAAGTCGCCTGTGCCTGCTAAGCCTGGGTCCTGTAGCAAGGCACCTTTCCCTCGTAAGGGCCACACTGTTCGGCGATGGTGAGGCACGGGGCGGGGGGGAGGATGAAGGGGTAACCTAGCAGTTAGGGCCTTGGACTGATACTGGAGAGACTGGGGTTCTGGGATAAACTCTATCAGTAATGTGCTTAGTGACCATGAGGAAGTTTCTACCCCACTTTCCCTTCCCACCATTTGTCTAATTAAACTGTAACCTGCTTAGGGCAGGGACTGTTCCTTGCTGGGTGTTGTGCATGGCTCTGATTCCACTGTGGGTCTATAAAGCAAATGACGGATTCTTACTGCTTCTCTTTCAATCAGTAACTGCTTGTAACCTCCTCTTCTGCAGTCCCAAGGCAGCTCACTCTCATAGACTGTCCTGCAGTTCCTGTGATCTAAACCTCTGATTGTTAACATCTTCCCTTATGTAAACACCACTGCCATCACTAGTGAGGGCTGGGTTTCAGGATTCAGAACCTGAGAGAAACATTTCCCACACCAGGTATCTGTAAAGACTTGATGTAAGTTGCCACACAGCCAAAGTATTTACTTTTTACAGCATCTCTTGTACCATGAAGGCTTCACAGAGCTGTGTCACACCTGTGCCAGGTAACAGTCAGTGAAATTATCCTGTAATTAAAACCCAACTTTATTTCCCATTACACTGGACAGCAACTCTGTACCTTGTACTCCTGGGTAGCTTCCTGTATGGGCACCACTGTGTGAGCCCGGGATCTCAGATAGGACACACGGATAGGAATTTGATCCTCTTTACAGAACGGTTTCAGGTTCTTTTGGTGCTCCCTGCACACCTTGTCCCATCTCGCTTTCTTTGCTGTCTGCACATTCAGCTGCTTCTCTAGTTCTTTCATGTTTGCCAGCTGCCGAATGGGCCGGAGAAGTCCCTGCTGCTCAGGGACTCTGCACTGATGGCTGAAGGAGGCCTAGCAGAAATTGTGCCCGCACTCCAGAGTGACAGGGGCTGTAAAATCTTCCTGACAGACGGGACGAGTCACTTCCTCCCTGAGATTTTCCACAGGGCTCTCTGCTGCTATAGCTGCCTCTGGGCTGGGGAACAGGGTAGTTTCACTTTCCTGAACTCAGAAACGTAGGGGCAGGTCCGGAGGGCATGTGTGTGAGGTACCAGCACTGATGATAAAAAAAAATATATATCAAAATTAAAACCAAAAATCCCCCAAAGATTTGCTCACTCATTGCCCGTGCCTGGGCCTGCACTGGACACCCCCAACCAACTGGGCAAGCTAGAACTCCCTGCCTCTGTGTCAGTCATACCAGAGTCCCCTCCTGATCCTGTGTCCAAATCCCTCACCCACACACTTTGTGGCCCTCTCTCGCAGTCCTTCTGCGTGTCCCTGACCCGTACCCAGCTCTCAGCCCCTGCCCCCCAGCCTAGCGTGAACATTCGACACATGCTGGTCTGAATTTTTTTAATTTAACAACAGAGAAGGGGGCAGGCAGCACTGAGCCGGCCGGAGGAAAGGCCTTTGCCCAGCAGGAGCCACTGCCCCAAACCCTGCCCCCAGATAGTGTGTCCCAATACTCAAAGCCTGACCCACAAGCAGCACAGAATGGTGGGTGACAATTGCTCCTCCTCCCCCAGCCCAGCTGAGCTAATAACTCCCACAAGCTGAGCTGCAGCCCCTCCCCCCCAGCCTTGCCACCCCTTCAGCCTGCGTGTGCCCCTCCCACACTGATGCCCTGCAAGTGACTGAGACAGTGAGCAGGGCTCTCCCCTGCCCCAGCGAACCGCCCCGCAGCCACGCGCCGTCAGGCCCGAATGCCTAACCCGCGCATGCGCAGCGCCCGGCTCTTGCCACCGCGAGAAGCAGTGGGCGCACCCGGGAGCCAATGAAGTGCTGCGGCGGGAAACAAAGAAACAAACAAACAACCCCCCCGCCGAGCCCCCAGCCAGGGCCGGGCAGCAGCTGCGCGGAGCGGCGGGGGCAGGCAGAAGCCGCCAGCCCGCAGCCAGAGATTTGGGTCGCAGAGGAACACGCCGCCCCCCCATCTCACCTCGCTCTACTCCTCCGCCCCCCGGCACTGCGCGGCGGTAACTGCACCAGCGGCCCCCTCAGCATCCGCCCTGAGGGTGCGCAGTGATCACGGCGGGCACTGCTGCTATTGCCTCTTTGCAGCGCGCAGTCAAACACCGCGGCGGCCTCAGCCCAGGGACCAATCGCAGCGGGGCCGGGAGTGACGCGCGGAGGGAAACGCATTGAAAACACGGACGGCGCGCTGCGAAAGGCTGGGGTTTGGGTCAGACTGCGCATGCGCACCGGGCCAGCGGGGCCCCCCCGGTCTCAGCCCAGTACTCGGGCTTATCGCACCCGGCGTTGTACTCCCTCCCCGCACGTACCCCACGCGTAACTGAGACCGGCACGCGCCTCCTACCCGCTGCGCAGCCGCTGCCGCCGCCC